TGGTGGATGGTGCACTGTCTCTTTAACTCCAGCCCCTGGTGGATGGTATCGATCGCTGAGAAGTCGCTCGGCGGTCGATGCATCAGCGCTCCATGCTGTGGCCTGTTCTCTATGGCGATGGAGGCGCTGGATTTGTTCCGGGCGCTGGGCTCGGGAGCTCGCTTTGACTGGAAGCGCTTCGGGAAGGATGCCGAGAGACTGCGGGTGAGGTCCCGGTCCCGGTCCTCCTTTTTTCCCCCCCGCCGGTACTGGGCCTGCGGAAGAGCAGGAGAGCCTGGGGCGGTAGGCCGCGGAATGGAGCCGGGGGTCGGCTACTGCTCTCAAAGCCGCCTGAGGGCATCAGGCGCTTCCCCCTTTCATTGAGACATTCCGTGGAGGCTGGTTCTTTCCCCTGGATAAAAGTCTATGGTTACAACCTGCATTGGGTGGTCCCGCTGCCCTGACCTCCAAGGTGTGGGGTGGTGACTTATTGCCGAGGGTCCTGCTGCCGGTGTTCCTCTTACAAGTGCAACGCGTGGGTCACCTTCGGCAATCCCCTGCACGGTGTTACATTAGTGTAAACGGGACCTTGTGGGGCAGTGGTAGTGTTTCTGCTTCTGGGCCAGGAGGCCTGGGTTCAAGTCCCACCTCTTACAGTGGGGTGTATAATAACACTTCTGAACACGTCGTTTAGAAACTGTCTAAGACCTTGGGTTTTAAGAACGCTTGAGGATTTGGGCTCAAAAACTGAACTGTTTTGCCTGTGCTGCCAGGCCAGCTACAAGGTACTGAGACCTCTGCCATCTGTAGTGTGCTCACAAGCCATTCAGTTGTGAAGATGTAAAACATGCCACCACAGAATCTTAAGACCTCACAGACAAGGTGTTCAACTATTGTGCCTAGACTTAGAGTCAGAGTTGTACAGCACAGAAACTCTCCCGTTGGTCCAAGTAGTCCACGCTGAACGTGAACTGCCTTAGGAGTTATGGGGTCACAGAGTCATACAGCATGAAAACAGACCCTTCAGCCCAACTAGTCCACACCAACCATGTTCCCAAACTGAGCTAGTCCCACCTGCCTGCTGTAGGCCCATATCTCTCCAAACCTTTCCTATTCATGTATTTATCCACATTGTGCCCACATCCTCCACTTCATCAGGAAGTTCATTCCATGCATGAACCACTCTTCGTATAAAAAAAATTGCCCCTCATGTCTTTTTTAAAAATCCTTTAAAAGAATTGTCCAATTTAATCCCATGCTTTCACTTTACCTCACTAGCCTTGGAAGTTAGTCCTTGATTAAATTTCCATTTGCTGGTTGGAAGTTAAAATGAAATTTGATTCCATGCTCTTTTTCAGTTACTGTTCCCTGGATTTGTCCTTGCTGTGTGGTGGGGAAAATAGTCTATCTTTTCTTTTGCCAATTACTTTCAAACTATAACTTCTAATCCAGTTGCCAGAGACAACAGTTTGTTGCTATTTGCAGTATCAAAACCCCTTGCCATTTTGAATATCTCTCATAGGTCATTCATTAAACATTTCTGCTCAAAGGAGAATAATTCTGCAATCTCCCTCATTCTAGTGAACTTCTGTATCATCTCTCAAGGCCTTGCCATCCTTCCTATAGTGTGATGCTAAAGTTGCAAATATTATTCCAGCTGAGGCCAGAGATGTGTAAGGATTTTGCATCGCCTTTTTTGTGCTTTCTGTTCATTGTCCCTATTTACAAAGCCAAGCATCCCAGCATTTTTCTTGGGTTTCATATAAATCTGACATGCCACCTGAAACATTTTGTGAATATTACCCCCACCCCTGCTCCCCAGCTGTCTCTACTTTGATATCTGCCTTGAAAATAGTTTATCTCTATTATTTCTCTCAGTCATTACAGAATTGCTGTCTGTTCCATCTCTTGCTGAGATGAGAATTCTGATTAATATTTGCTTTTCTAAACTTCCCTTGAATGTTTTGACTTGATTAATGTTGATTGGATTATGGTTCAGGATATAGTGTTACACCTTTCAGTGATGTCTTGTGATGTGCTTCAACCTGAAATCTAAAATTGTACATGGCTTCTTAATACATTGTTCTTGTAATTCCAGGTGATGAATTCAAGCAGCACCATCTTAAGTGAAAACGTTCCTGACCTTGACTTTTTTAACAGACAGCCTGCAAAAAACTGCAAACCAGTGGTCAGTACGTTGAAAAACAAAGGGGAGAAAAAAGATTCTGCAGCAGACTGCAAGGACGACACATGTGTATCCCTAGGAAAAAGAAAATTGGACATGGGTAGTTCAGAAAGAAAGAAAAGGAACAAAAAGAGGATCAAAGGTAAACTGAGAAAAACACAACAATTTGAAATACTGAATAGATTAGGCAGTGTCTTAGGAGAGAGAAACTAATTCTAATTTACCCTCTCGATCTTTGTCATTACTTTAAAACTATAATATCTAACCCACATGCCAATAGAAGGTTTCAAAATTCTGATTTCCAAATCTGCAAGGACTTTGTAATTAATGATTTCTTCCCTTCTTAGAGGAGATGGCCATTATCATGCAGTGATGAACATGTTCAACATGCCTTTGATTATAATGGTTTGCACAACGTAATAATAGGAAGATGAGATGAATCAAATGCTTTCTCTTCCTCTTCCCTGACCTCACCTAAATTGTTTTCATCTACCCATGACATAAGAACAAGAACTTAACCTCCGACATTGTTACTCCACTTTTGAGGCCATACAAACAAATCCTAACTGTTTCTCCATATTCATGCAGATGTCCTTTTTGATGGGTGGTGATCTAGAATATTGACCAATGTTTCTTTCCCCTCCCTGTCTGAGGGAACTGAGGTGATTTAACTATCAGCTAATTGAATGCAGTTGAAGACTTGTGCTAAGGACTGTAAGAGATGCTGTTTCCTGCTGTGTCATGGGTAAACCTACGTTATTAAAAACTTCAGCGCAAATTTAACAGGCAGCAGCTCATAGCTTTCTTTCCTTTTTTAAAACCTTCTTTATACATGCATTTAATTCTTAATTTCAATTTTTTTAAGCCAATAGGCTGTCCACTGTTTAAATTGATTTTACTTTTACCTGCCCTTGTTAGACAAGAATTGGAGTAAGCAGTTAACCTGCTTTCGAAATGGCCTTGGAGCAGGTGGTCATGCAGAAGCCTGGATGGTCTGGAGTTGGCATTTCTTCCACACTGTTTGAGGTTTTCTGATCTTCTGCTAGTAATCTTAGTAACATTAGAAATGCAGTGAAGTCAAAGATTAATCCTGTGTTCCACAACTCAGAGGTACTTGTAAGTGCTTGAACATGGTCTACATCCTTGGGAAATATTGAAAAAAAAATCAATGTGTCAAGACACCCACGTATGACTCCGAGGCAGACTGAATGATTGTCAGCGAGCTACTTTCTGAGCTCTTAATTGTGTTCTTGTCACCAGATTTTGACATGAACGCAGAGCATTTGATCAGTAGAGTCTGTTTTTGATTTTTAGAACCCTCGTGCGCATCTCGGCTGATGTATTTAAAAATAGGGTTGATGGTGATTTTTGGATTTTTTTTCCAATAAACCTTCAACCACGGAAACAGCATAGAAGGATATATTAATTGTACAGGAAAACAGCAGTGTCCCAATATGCTTGGGTGAACAAGGGAAAAGTGAGGACTTTGGTTTTTACAACTTGTGAATGTAATTCATCTCTTTTGAAGCTTGATTATATCCGGTACTTTGCAACCTCATTTGTATTTGTCAACAAAGGTTGCTAATTTCTCTTCTCTCTCCACCGCCACCATCATGTACTGGTCAACCACCATCGGCAGAAACCAACGCAATGTCTGACATTTTTGCTAATAGCAAGGATGATGATGGAATAATGTTGATGTCCTCACTGGGAAGCAAGATCAAGAGTAATATTGACAGGACGGGCACAGAACCTAGTGCTGAGAAACTGGAACATCAACGACGAGAAAAGGTTTGTCTTTGGGCCAAGAACAAATCTTCTTTCTGTATACCCTTCAAGGAGAAATCAACTTAAAAGCCTCGCTGTAAAGTTTGTGATGGAATTAAAATTTTCTCCTTTTTTTTTTGTCAAGATGAATAAATTTCGGCGTAAGCATCGGATTCATGTGGATGGAACAGATATTCCTGAACCCATTGAAACCTTTGAACAGCTCTTACAGGAGTATAACTTGCACCCAAAAATTATTCAGAACATACAGGAAGCTGGTTTCCAAATGCCCACCCCCATACAGATGCAAGCCATTCCTGTCATGCTACATGTAAGTATTTTTCAGTTAAATTGTTAGGATAGGTGTTAAATTTTGCTCTGAGGCATGTTAATAGTAAATCATGCAGGCATCTGTCACTCATGGCTCATTTGCAAGCACTTTTGAGTCACCAGATTCCAGGTTCAATCCCCACTTCAGGAATTGAGCACAAAAATCAATGTTCACATTGCGGTATGGTACTTGAGGGTTTGTCTGAGGTGCCATCTTTCAAATGAGAAGTTGAAGTAAAGCCCTGTCTCTCTGCTTGGGTGGATGTAAAATTTCTCAGAGTACTATTTCAAAACAGCAGAGGAGTTCTGCCAATATTTACCCCTCAATCACCATTGTAAAAGCAGATTTTTATCTGATTTTTACACTGTTTGTGGCAGTTTCCTGAGTGCAAATTAGTTGCTATGTTTCAAACCTTAACAGCAGTGACTACAACTTTTAAATGTACTTCATCGGCTGGGAAGCAATTTTGAAATGTCTGGTGGTCATGAAAATATGTAATGTAAATGTAAAAAAAGTCTTTTTATTTACTTGGCTCATCCCAATCTTATGCTAATATAGCTGATCTTGGCTAGGACAGGAAAACATTTGCATTTTCCCTAAGCCCCTACTTCTGACCAATATCAGTGTTCTACAGTGTGGTGAATTCAGTTTCCTCATCATTTCAGAGATAGTAGGAACTGCCGATGCTGGAGTCGGAGATAACAAGGTGTGGAGCTGGATGAACACAGCAGGCCCTCGGCATCAGAGGAGCAGGAAAGCTGACGTTTCAGAAAATTCTGAAGAAGGCTCCTGACCCGAAACGTCAGCTTTCCTGCTCCTCATCACGTCACCTGTGTTAGAAATATACGTTTAACAACATTGAGCACAGGAATGGAGCCTGGTCATTATGGCTATAACTGTTTCAACAGCATAAACTAAATAATGGATGCATGGACAAGCAACTAGAGGATTGTTGGCATTACATTTTGTTAAAGTAACTTCTCTTTGATTTATGATATAATTTTATACAACAGTAAAATCTTAGCACTGTTTTGCTTTTCTTTTGAATGATACCCCATGATGTAGTGTCCTGATTTACAAGCAGGCTTTCCTGTTTGGGCTTCCAGCCTACATGCAGTTTCTCAGCTGAGCTCAATAAAGAAAAGGCTTTACGAACTTGGAATATATTTGCATAAGCAGGGTGGGATGTTGCCAATGCTCTTTCTAAGTTGTGTAATAGCAATCTGGAAGATCCTATGTATAGAAGTTAAGTGAAACAAAAGCAATTCAAAGGCATTTAACTGAATGGGCTGCCTCTTTATAAAATAACAAAACAGTGGGGGCATTAGATGTTGCGGGCATTGAATGTCTTTGTGACCAGTTCTAATGATATAGGCAAATGCTATTCTTGGTTTAGAAATCATTGTGCATGCTGATATCTGTATAATAAGTAGGTCATCGAGCTGTACAGCATGGAAACAGACCCTTCAGTCCAACTCGTCCATGCCAACCAGATATCCTAAATTAATCTAGCCCCATTTTCCAGCTTTTGGCCCATATCCTTCTCAACCCTTCTTATTCGGAGAACCCATCCAGATGCCTTTTAAATGTTGTAATTGTACCAGCCGCCTCCAATTCCTTTGGCAGCTCATTCCATGCACACACCACCCTCTGTAAAAAGGTTGCCCCCTTAGGCCCCTTTTAAGTCTTTCCGGTCTCACCTCAACCTATGCCCTCTAGTTTTGGACAAAAACCGCAAGAACTGCGGATGCTGTAAATTAGGAACAAAAACAGAAATTGCTGGAAAAGCTCAGCAGGTCTGACAGCATCTGTGAAGAAAAATAATCAGAGTTAATGTTTTGGGTCCAGTGACTCTTCCTCAGAACTGTTCTGAAGAAGAGTCACTGGAGCTGAAGCGTTAACTCTGATTTTTTTTTTTCTTCACAGATGCTGCCAGACCTGCTGAGCTTTTCCAGCAATTTCTATTTTTGTTCCTTCTAGTTTTGGACTCCTCTACCCTGGGGAAAAGGACCTTGGCTATTAACCCTATCTATGCCCCCTCATGATTTTATAAACTCTTTTTACGGTCACCACTCAGCCTCCAACACTCCGTGGGAAAATAGCCCCAGCCTATTCAGCCTCTCCCTATAGATCAAACTCTACAACCCTAGCAACATCCTTGTAAATCTTTTCTGAACTCTTTCAAGTTTCACAACATCCTTCCTATATCCAGGATACTGACATCTAAATGCTGTAACGTTTTTTTAAAAAAAAGTGGTCACTGAAGGCTTTTCTTATTGGCTATGATATCTTGATGACTTTTTCTTGAAATGACATATTGGTGTGTCAGAGTTAATTTCGAACTATTTTATGTATCTTTCACAGAATCGTGAAATCCTGGCCTGTGCCCCAACTGGATCAGGAAAGACCTTGGCCTTTTGCATTCCACTTTTGACTTGTCTAAAGCAACCAATGAACAAAGGTTTCAGGGCGCTGATACTATCTCCTACTCGTGAGCTGGCCAGCCAGGTATGTTTGCACCAGAGACCTATTTCACTGCAATTCTATTAATTGACAAATGCTACTGATTTTTTTTCTCTCTTTATAAACTAACCTGTACTTAGTTTTGAGTACAGCAGCTTGCCTGAGGCAGTAGACAAAAAGGTGACATGAACAACATTGAGCCTATGCCAAGATCAGACCATATCAGTAATTTGATGAATGAACTGTGTTGTCCTTAAATGTCCTGGTCTTAATGCAGCAGAGCAGGAAAGCATCTGAGACACTGGAATTGAAATTTCTTTCTTAATGTTACTACTAGTATTCTTCTGTTGGCATTGTACTGTCTTCACAAGTGCGTGAGCTCAAGTTTAGAAGTTGAGCATATATACGTCTGTCTGCGCTCCCAGTAACCAGAATAGCATAAGTGTTTTAAAAGATTTTTTTTATCTTAAAAATAATTGCCTCAAATTTAAAATTCTCAAACTGGTGTTCATGCCCCTGCACAACCTCACTCCTTCCTTACTACTGTAACCTCCTGCAAGCCTCTGAACTCTCTGCGTTCCTCAGAATCTGAGCTTGTGTGGTGCCCTGATTTTTAGTGCTGTATTATTGGTGGTTGCACCTTTTCAGTTGTCTCGGTCCTAATCTATTTAATTTCTTCAGAAGTCCCTCAGTTGCAGGAAGAACAAAATAAATGGTTCAAACTGTCAAATATTCTGACTGAGTCCGAGTTAGTCTGGTTGTTCCTCTATTTCCAGACTCATCGGGAGCTAGTAAAGCTCTCTGAAGGTATTGGATTCAGAATTCATATGATCAACAAAGCAGCTGAGGCTGCCAAGAAGTTTGGTCCCAAGACGTCAAATAAATTTGGTGAGTGAATTTCATATTTCTACCTTTTTTTTTTTCAAAAACATTAAATTTTAAATTTGACTCAGAAGAAATTTGGCCTCAAACAAGAACTGTGCTCTAGCCTCAGCCTTGACTGTTGATAAGATTTTTACTTGGGTGCTAGATGGGGAATTGTGTATGCAGAGGACACCGTTTTTGTTTTGAAAAAGTGCAGACTTATTCAAACTGCCTTAATCAGATGGTGCTTGTAACTGAAGAAGTCTACAGGTTAAAGCAAGTCCTTCTCAACAGATGGAGCAAGAATGGTAGAGGGCAACAATGTGCATACCATAGTGAGCTGCAAGGTGTGGATGTATTTTTTTTTTAACTGGAACTGGTCTTGTTTCTAAGTGCCAGTAATAAGCACAAAAGGATTACTTTTCTCAAGTACCTGACTTCCAACAACTATAGTTGTTGAAATGTTTTTCCTTTTATCTGCAGATGTTTTGGTGACTACTCCAAACAGATTGATTTACTTGTTAAAACAGGATCCTCCCGGTCTGGACCTCAGCAGGTATCAGTTTGTACTGTTTTACAGAAAAGTACACTCCATGGAAGCCATTGTTAAGGAAGTAATTTGACAACTGTTGGGGCCTTAAATCTCATCATGCAGTGGAATATAATTGTATTTTAAAACAGGTTTTTAAATTCTGTGGATTGCACCTTTCTCTACATGAATACTGTGAAATTGACTTATGTACAATGCATCTGCTAAGGGAAATATTTTTAAATTTTAATCCTTAATATTTGTCAACTTTTGAAGACAATGTAATTATATCAGACACTGCAGAAGAGTCTAGATTTGATTGATGTTACTTACAATGGCAATAGAAGTGCTACTTTTGTCATCAGTGACTCTTAATGAGAGGAAAGAAAGTAATTTTCTGTGCCTGTGATTATTATCTAGTGATGCTTTCTGCAAAATGTTTTTGGATGCTGTGTGAAGATGTGATTAGACATGTTGCATGTTCTATTGAGACTTGCATTCTACACTATCTCTTGAGAGACACAGGTGGTTGCTTGATATCTGTAGTACCATATCCCAGCAGTCAGTCTTTTTCATGAGAACGTAACAGCAAGATGATTTGCTGAACAAGGGTGAAATGCTCACATGAGAAAGCAAAATATTGCAGATGCTGGAAATTGGAAATCAAAAACAAAGCAAAATGCAGAAAGTACTCAACAGGTTTGACAACATCTACTGTTCTATCTTCCACTTCAGCTAAATGCTTAGCAACCTCCTGAAGCCATCTTCACATTCTGTGAATAAACTTCACCAGAACAAAGCTGCTTTATGTCTAGAACCACTTTGCAGTTATAAACTTTAACAAAAAAAGACACTTTTGAGCAAGGAAGTCTTTAACTAGAAAGATCCCTCTTTAAATCCGGTGAATTCAGAAATCCCATCAATGACGTTATGATCCCAGCTGGTGTTAATGCTGGACAAGTCAGATTCCAGACAGGAACCTGGCTTGATGGATCATATTTTGATGATTTGCTGATATCTCTGAAACATAAGCATGCAATGATGCGATTTGTTTTAACAATAAATAAGTTTTAGAACAAAATTAGTAAAAATTGAATAAACCAAACCATCTACTTAGTGCAAAATAAAAGATTTTTAGGCACGCATTAAAAATATACTCCCACTAATCCCAAAACACTTTATAAATTGAAAAGAAACAACACAGCTTTTGCATAGCACTCAAAAAAACAACCTGGTACAGTACCCAAATTACCACTTGCACAATATTTTCACCAGAAGTCCTATATCTAACACTTTGGTAGGCTTAAATCACGTGTCACTTCAACTTTCAAACTGGAACTGCAGATAGCTTCTTCTCTGAGCTATTATACACCTGCTTAAATGTATTCAGCAATAAGCAATGTCTTCAAAGTTTTATCCTAATCCTTCTGGTCTGGGACTAGCACTAACCCTCTGTACTCTGAGGTAGTCTAGTTCCTATATATCCTTCCCTCCCCAAGAGCACCAGCCTATAGGGCACCAAGGACAGCCCTTCTTGGCTATGGTTATTTTCTTTAAGCTTATTTACCTTGCTGTGTTGCATGATTATGTAAAGTAAACCCTGTTTTGGTGCACAAAACCCATTCCTTCTAAAGCCAGGCCTGAGAAACTGGTTTAATATGAACTACCTTGGTTATGGAAATGCTTATTAAGTTAATTTTTTTTTTTTTTAGCTTCAGACACACAGGAAAACCACTAGTTACTAACTCAAAAATCAGAAATCCAAACTTACAATAAATAATATTAAAACTATATATGTTTATAAATCCTACATATTTGCATCACAATCAACCAATCTCATGGGCATAAGCGGTGATACTTCATTGTAGCTTTTGTACAAGGTCTTCAGTCAAGGATTGGCAATTGTAATGCAATGTCTCTTCAATTTTATCAAGCAGTGGTTTGCAGTCTAGCAGAAACTCTATACGATAGACAAATAAACATTTTGAAGTCTGCATTTTTAGTTTTTTACAGAATTATTGAATTTTAGTTCTACCATTTTTTCACCTGTTCCTGGTTAGTACAGTTAGTGAGTCACCAAAACAGTTTAACTGAGAAAGTCAGTTATTTGAAATAATACTGTTGTTTCAGAAGCAAAGTTGAGCACTCTTCCATAATTGACATTGCAAGGTTGGTGTTCATTTTTTAAAAAAGCACGCATTAAATGTAAGTGGATGTTATAGCGTATAGCATTATGCACTGTGAATATTGCAAGGACTGCATTGCAAAGAATCTGGAACACCACACATCCTATCTCTAGATCAGTCAAATTAGTAGACATGATGAGTCTTTCATATCTTGACTTGAGAAATAAAATCTTTGAAAGGTGCAAGAATATCCACAAACCACAGCTCAAATGGATCAAAACAAAATTTGGGATGTACTGGCATCCAATTGCATGTTGTACTATGACAAACTGATGTACTGATTTTTTTTTTTTTCCAAAATTTTAAATTTAGGGTGGAGTGGCTGGTTGTTGATGAATCTGATAAGTTGTTTGAAGATGGTAAATCTGGATTCAGAGATCAGCTTGCCACTATCTTCTTGGCATGTACATCCCACAGTGTGCGGCGAGCTATGTTTAGTGCCACATTTGCATTTGATGTTGAGCAGTGGTGTAAACTGAACTTGGACAATGTGGTATCTGTGTCGATTGGCACGAGGTGAGACAAAAGGAACACCATCTATAGTAACCTTGAAAATTAACCTAATTTTACTGTGGTGTGTTGAGATTTTTTGCACTACTTGTACATTACATAAAAGAAGGATTATAGACCAGTTTTCTTCAAATGCTAATTTGTAACTAAAGTTATAGTTTTGGAGCAAATTTTCAAGGCCCTTATCCATGGATATGTCTAAACATTGACTGGGTTTATGAGTAGAGAAGATGGACATCAATAGATAAATGATTACAGCAGATTTTGTACACGTTCAATGCATTGAATCTGTATTATTCCATTGTATCTACTTTAACTTGAGTAGAATTTAGAAATGATGCACAAAAATTGTAGCTCCATATTGAGAATCTACCTCAACCGCTCAGAAATTACAAATCTCTTGTATAGGATGAGATCAGGGCTTTGCGAATGATTTGTCCATTTGACTTTTTTAACAGAAGTATCTAATGTTGCGTATACCATAGTATGAATTATGTTTGATGTTTTAGTTTGCAAATTAAATTATATGTGGAAATATGATGCCAGTCTTACATCTATTAGACTTTTGTCAAGGTATTATGTATTTTATTTGAGCTGTCTGTACGAGTGTTAAATGTCTTCCATTATTAGCAATGGTTAGATTAATCTGGTTCAAAGTGTATTAATTTTTTATCTTTCTTCCAGGAATTCTGCTGTGGAGACAGTGGAGCAAGAGTTACTTTTTGTGGGTACCGAAACTGGGAAACTAGTAGCAATGAGAGATCTAGTTAAAAAGGTACAAAATGAGTTATGTATTAGACCAGCACTACTATTTAATTTGACTGTTCAAAAATTGTTTAAAATGGTTTTAACGTTGAATAAATACCTAATAGTCAAAAAAACAGCCTGCAGGAGCCCTTGTCAAGCCGGACCCATTTGAATGATGTATGCTAGGATGTAAGCTATTGTTTACTTGAACAGAGTTAGCAGCCTTTACATTAGAAGTTGAGCTGTTGTTCGTGGTGAACCTTTTATATGGCTGATACCAAAATCAGGTTCGAAGACTATGATGATACCATTTTGGACAAATAGTTCTGATCAAAAATGCTTAGTCACTCCTAATTGGAGGCTAACTATTGGGTATTCCAAGAGACTTCCAAGTGTACATGTGTTTTTTATTCCTCTGCATTCCACTATATGGCACCAATCAATAATGTACAACACTACGGCCTTTAAAAGATCTGGTGAATAACTAGCTATTTATCTATGTACATAATTATTTAGTAAACGAAAATCCCCAGAGTCAAGCAATAGTCATCTCATTGGCTGATTTTTAAAGTGATTAGCCTGTCACTCAGTCTGTAAAGTGGGCATTCCTTGGTAATGTGCAGTATTGTTTGTACAAGGTAGCAAAATGTAAAACACTATCTCAGCAGCACCAGTGTCAATATTGAGCAAAGCTGTGGATTTATGCCAATAGGACGTGCTCTGTGAATCTTAAACTTGATTATAGAGAGACTATTGGCCATGAAGTGAAATCTCATTTGGATTTCCTTTCGCACAACATTCTAATGACAACATTTTGCTTTGAGACCCATATCAAAACCAAAGAAGCAGACACCTTTGACCTACTATGCTACTCCCTTTCTGCTAAAACATAGCTATGTCTAATCTGATTTTGCTGATGCAGGTGTCCTGTCATCATCCATGTTCTCTGATACAGTTCAGGTTGGCAGCTTCCATATTGCAGAATGTGGACATGTCTCAAAATGCCAGGTGGGAACAGCAAGCTCTACCAGTACTGCCTTACTCAGCCAGCCACGTAGGAGATTTCAACAGCCACCACAGGGTTACTCAGTACCCGACAGTAATGGTGAACAGGTCTTTGAGTGGGACTCCAGAATCAACTCTCCCAGATAGATAGTCATTAAAGATCTGCAGCACAGAAAAGGGCCCTTTTGGCCCATTGTGTCCATACCGGTCAAAAAGAACCACCTAACTATTCTAATCGTGAGCACAGGGAACATTTCTTTTAAGCCAGATGAAGTCAGAAGTACATGCCTGACCGATGCTGGATCAGTTCCCTTGATGGTAAGTTACTTGATGTTTAAGATCAATGGTAATTCCTCCCATTATCTGTCTATTTCATCCCAGGTTTCTATCTATAACCTCAAAACTTATGCCTTTTTTTTCTGGCAACTTCCTCCTATTTTTATGGCACTGCACAAAATTCTGCTGAAAATACTCTGCAATTCCTGCTAATGTCTCTTCCCCTATTCCTTCCACTTCTTCCCTCCAGAGTGTTATTTGATGTCAAAAAATTACCTACCAAATCATAATTCCAGATGTAGCAGAATCAATGAGTGGTCTACTTCATGTTGCCGTCCTTACTTGGGTTTACTGTCAGCACGGCAAAGTATGCGAGTCTGTATCTTGTCTAGTAAATTTGTTGTGCAAGCTGGATGGTGGAGTGCCATGCTTCAGCACAAAGGAAAAAAAAACTATACAAGGCTGTAGTCAGACCACAGTTGGAATAATGTGAACCGTTTTGGAACCAGTGTCTAAAAGAAGATATAATGGGCATTTCAGGCAGTTCAGAGAAGGTTACTAGGCTGATAGTTGGTATGGAGAGACAGTCATATGATAAAAGGTTGACTCATTGGAATTTAAAGAATGAGAGGTGACCTTTTCTGAAACAAACAGTATTCTTAGGGTCTTGACCAGATTGATGTGGGAAGGTTGTCTCACTTTGTGGAAGGATCTAGGACTGGAGGGCCTAATCTCAGAATAAAGGATCATACATTTTGAGGCAGAATTTCTTCTCTGAGGGTAATGAATCCATGGAATTCTTTGCCATTGAGACTGGTTCATTAAGTATATTTACAGCTGATAGACAGATTTTAAATCAATAAGGGAGTCTGGCGTTATGCGGAAACCGGGAGTTGAGGACTTTCAGATCAGCCATGGTCTTATTGAATGGCAAAGCAGACTCAATAGGCTAAATAGCCTACCTCTGTTTTTACATCTTCTCGTCTTCAGAACTTCCACTGGTTGATCTGAAGCAATAATGCGGTGCCTGGTACAGGTCGTTGCATTCTTGGGTGATTTTGCATTATAGAAAATTGCTATATCTGTACAGCAGAAAGTTCATGTTATCCAAAGTGTCCATTATTCATCAATCGCATTACAGTGAATTTGCGCTAATGAACCATGCGTTATAGCAGAACTACCTGTATTAGGTATTTGATTCAAAATGACTCTTGGTGCAAGCCTGAATTTATAACAGGAAAGCCATCTGATTGAATATTTAGTCCAAAGTCAGTAGGTCTCATGATTTGTATGGACATCAATATTTAGCATTATAGGATGGGTATCATGTGAGCATCCTCTTGATTGTAGGAGCAGTTTGAGATTGTTGTAGTAGCATGACTTGTTTTATTTGCATCTGTGTTTCATATGTTTGATAGATGAATATCCATTCATCAAATTAAGTAGCAAAATTCTTTCAGATTTGTGAGGAATTTGTTTTTAATCCATGGTTTAGCGCAATCATCAGTTTCCACCTTTTTTTTCCCTCCGCATTTTTTTGCTGTCAAGAAGCCAACACCCTGCAGGGGAAGAATCTAGCTTTTTTTTTAAAAATTAACCTGCCCAGGCATGGTGTGACTCCTACCTGGGCAGGTGGGATTTGAAGCCAGACCTTCAGGCCCAGAAGTAGTGACACTACCATTGTACCACAAGGAGCCTAAGAAACCAGGTCTTCTTTTTTCTTTGTAATTTTAGCAATTTTGTCACCAAACCACCTGAATAACTAATTGTCAAGTAGCAAATAACACATGCTGCCTGCCAATGCAGTATCAACGAATCAACTCCATTTTATTTTTAAATAGATATACAATATATTTCTTTACTGCTCTGAACACTGATCCTTTCCTGTCTTGTAGTTATTTTAATCAACATGCTTGGGCATCTCCAGGGCTGGTGGGACTTGGACCCAGAGGTAGGGACATTAGCACTGCACCACAAGTAACAGTTTTTTTTTTGGAAAGTGAACCCACTACCTAATTGTCAAATCACCCTACTAATTAAATAACAAACACTGCCCACCAGGAGCAGTGTGACAATAATAATAATAAAAAAAAAAAAATTCTCATTTGTACAACTTTCATGGGTTATGGTATTGATTTTAAAGGAGTGAATCTAGTCATCCTGTTCAGAAATGTTAATACGTGTCTCTGGGGCAGATGGGACTTGAACACTGGCCTCCTTTCCCAGAGATAGTAACACTACCACTGTACCATAAGTACACTCAAACCAGCTTTTGTTTTTTTTTCTCAAACACAGCATTTTTCCTCTTCCTGTTCCAAGTTTAAAGCAAAAAGGAAGAAAAAGGATTTATTAATACCTGTATTTTTAATCAACTTATTCAGATGTGTTATGGCACAATTCTGGAGCATATGGGACTTGAAACTGGGCCAGAAGCCCACTACCAAATCACCCATATCGCTGGTTAAAATAACAATTTGCAAGCACCGTCACATTGTAACAATAGCAAAATAGGGGAAGGTGGGAAGAGAGGGAGGAAACTAAATTAAAATGGATTGGGAAGGGAAATGATACACTCCACTCCAGCCCCACAGTGACATCTCACTCTAAGGATGTTGAGGGAGTTAAAGCAGTTCTTACACTGACATATCATGCTTTTATACCTTTTCTTCCCCCCTCAGGGGTTTTCACCTCCAGTGCTAGTTTTCGTTCAGTCTATTGAAAGAGCAAAGGAACTCTTTCATGAGTTGATCTACGAGGGCATTAACGTTGAGGTTATCCACGCAGAAAGAACTCAACAACAGGTATAGTCACTTTCCTTTCCTTTTCTTTTGGGGGAAACTATGCAGAACTAACCAAGTTAACATTTGAAATTAGAAAACTGACTGATTCAGCAATTAATGATCTGTTAATTAGCTTTGCACAACCTCTTTTGAAGAAAGAAATGTTAGAACTGCTCATTTTTACGCTGAAATAGTACTGATAATTATTCTGAAAACAGCATTATTTAAAGCATTGGTTGAAAACCTAATTATATGTTATTTGTGTAATAGGTTAATATATTTCAGGTCCAGGTTTGACATGATTAGCACAGCCAGACAAGTGCTGTCTTGTTTTCTCTAGGATGTTTTGAGAATGGGCCACTGCACAGCTTGACACCAGTGTTATGTGTGTTCTTAATTGTAATAAATGGACTAGCTCTATTTTGAAGAAACTTCTCATTATACTGGTTTTCAGACTTCACATTTCTGATCCGGAGCCAAATAACCAGCAGATCTCTGACCATGGTCTGTTTTCAAGTTTCCATAGGTACCCATGTAAAAAAAAAAAAAAAAAAAAAATTGATTTTGTGTAAAAAGATGATTCATAATTTTTGGCTTAAAAGATTATAATTTTTCATTGTGTTCCATGTAAAGTTAATCTTAGTTTCTCATTGTGGCTAGGTGAAAGACAGGCCAGCAGTGGAGGCACCAACAAAATAGACTTTCACGTGTTAGAGGTGTTTTTTTTTATATAGGGAAGAACTAAACCCTAAGAATAAAAAAAAAAAGTGTCCACTGTATTTGCTATTGTTCTTAAGTGCACACTTGTTAGCCAGGTTACTGGGGCTCTTCCACAGCACAGCCAATCAACAATGGGTTTGAACTTGATTCCTGTTTCCTCAGTGAGGGGCTTAGCTTTGTCATTCAACACTAACCCCAAAATCACAAACCTTTTTCTCCTTGCTGGCCTTCCAGGCCAAGCGAGCAGAGTCTTGTCAATGGACTGGTTCTTTCTTTAATGCGTGCACTCCAGGTTCCCACTGTACAGCCATTCTCAGACTTCCCTTTTGTTCTTGCTAGTTTTGGAAATGGTGGAGGCAGTTAGCCCATACTTGAGGACAGTCTCCTGTTTGAAGGAGGGGGTCATTGAATTTCAAGCTCAACTGGACTGCCTGCACCCTTTTTGGTTTTGAACCTGATCTCCATAACAGCATTAAAATGGTAGTGTGCACAGTAGTTTATACAAGATATCACAACTTCTGTTAAGATTTTGTTTTGGTATTAACTTCATGCTGTGTGGGATCATTGAGTGCTTGTTAACCCGTCATTTAAGAGTCAACCCCTAAGTGTTTCTTAAAAGAATTTTCTCAAAAATCTAACTTTTTTTTTAATGTAGGTATATATGGTACATGTGACTAGGGCGTCAGCAGAAGCACTGGATTTAGCAAAAGTACCCTCAGGCTGGGGCAGGGAAGAAAATCAGGCAGGCTTTGTATCCCCTCTATTGGTTGGAAACTGTGACTTTGTGGATAAGACTAAGATTGCGCAACCCACTGTGGCAGAATAGCCTCTTAGTACTTGCTATCAAGGCTCAAACACCAAACCTTGTTGATATGCTACATGACTTCCAGTGCGTACAGTTGAACTTGATGCCTTATTTTCTAGGTTGAAGCTTTTGTATAATGTCTTCCTGATAGAGTTTTCATTTTTTTTATATAAAGAGCTAGCAATCATTGCTTTTGCTGGTCCAAATTGCAGTTGGGTGTCCAATGGACCTAGAAAATGTAGCTTTGAATTCAAGTTTCCTTCTCCTTTGTGAATGTCTCTCTCTAGGCTTTACAGCAATTTCTGTTTCTATTTTCTCCCCCCTCACTCAGAGAGATAATGTAGTATGCAGCTTCAGAGCCGGAAAAATTTGGGTCCTCATTTGTACAGCTCTCATGGCTCGTGGTATTGATTTTAAAGGTGTGAATCTAGTCATCAACTACGACTTTCCAACTACTGCAATTGAGTACATTCATAGAATTGGTATGTATATTGTTATATCTCTACATTCAGTGAAAATCAATTGTTTATAGAAAAGGAAATACTTTGGAAAGCACTTGCTGAGTATCGTGAACATTGCAGAGCTGCATAGTGCTTTTTAGCCATCTGAACAAAGTTTCCAGGCAACAGAGTCTTTAAAATTCAAATTTTAATGCATAGCTTCATTTTAAATCCAACCATATTAGAAATAGATCGTGGAACAGAATAGAACAGAATCCCTATAGTGTGGAAACAGGTCATTTGGCCCAACAAGTCCAAGCTGCCCCTCCGAAGAGCACCCCGACCTGACTCATTCCCCTACCCCTGCATTTCCCCATGTCTAACCCACCTAAACATCCCTGAACACTATGGGCAATTAAGCATGGCCAATCCGTCTACCCTGCACATCTTTGGACTGTGGGAGGAAGCCGGAGCACCTGGAGGAAACTCACGCAGACACTGGGAGACCATGCAAACTCCACACAGACAGTCACCCGAGAGTGGAATTGAACCTGGGTCCCTGGCGCTGTGAGACAGCAGGGCTAACCACTGAGCCACTGCAGATCCAGCATCTATCACCAATCTCTTCTCCATTCCCTCCCATCACCCCCTTCCGCCTCACCCAGCACGTGCGCACATGCACCTCTTGTTCGTGGATTTAGGTAATGAAGAGCCAAGAGCATAAAAATTTATTCAAAACAATTGACACTGTGGAAAGTTGAGCCAACTTTTGCATGTTGGATTTATTTTGTCCAGTAATTGTGGTAAATATGGCCATCTTCTATCTGTAGGGGCAGGAGGGAAAAATTGGCTTGTTTTGAAAATTGACCTCCTTGAACGCTCGTTGCCTGAGGGAATAGGAGAGTAATTTAGTCCTTGGTATGTGGGGACCATCAAGGGGAACTCCATGTCTCATTGTCATCCCTCATTATCAAAATCTATTTGGTGCTTCTACCTTTTGTTTAAATCTCTGCTTGTTGGCGTAATTGGAATTCCCATAACTGCAACCCATGCTTGGATTATTAGTTATGCAGCAAAGTGATACATGCTACAGTGTTATTCTGTGTAAATTAGCTTTATGCTTTTATGAGCGCAACAGATCCTCGACCAATGTCTACTTTAGTGCCATGAAAGCTATGTAAAAGATTAAAAAGTAAAACATGATCATAAGCAAAATCATAATATTGACAGAAAATAAGTGACTTGTAAATTTTGCTACTATTAAAATGTATAATAATTGGCTCCTATTGAGGGTTAGTGGTAGGGATTGGCTAGCAGTGGTGGTCATTAAAGCTGTGCAGATCAAAAGATCCTGGTTTGTGTTGTTTCTCACTCCCTCGCACTTTGTGCTGTGTTTACTGCTGGTTGGCTGGGATGGCCTCTTTGACCCTGCCTCGGGAGTGGAAAAATCAACCAAGCTTTCAATTCCTGATTGGTGTCCAGTGACCCGTATTGGAATTGCACGTGTCGACAGCATTAGCCTGAGCTGCTAAGTCAGCTCTTGTTGTTTAGCATCCAGAAAACTCGTGATGCAAGCAAAATAGCAGAGAGCATCTGTGAAACTGTATCTTCGAAGGGAGAACATCAACATTAAAACGTGCTTTTTGTATAACAGTCAGCAAATCCTGCACATCTTTTAGGGTCTGTCAACTTGTACTATGAATACCATCTCTCTTTAAAGCAGGATCATTGCATTAGCTATTATAGATTTTTAATAAGCTAGTAACATTCGCTGTGCAGGTACAATCTGCAGATCTCTAGAGATTTCTCCTAATGGACGGACAGAAAGTTGATTTTTTTTTTAAAAAACAGTTTTATTTCTATTGAGGTGAACCTTTTGAAACACTAATGTGTGACATTTCTCACAGCAATGCTTGTATTTACATATTGTATTCAAACATTTTAAAAACTGTTTCACTCAGTGATATTTCACGCAGTGATATTTAGACAAATACAACAGCTATCTGCACCAAATAGCTTGCTAACAACGCTGATGAATGGTTTTTAGCATATTGGCAGTGGGAGAATTGTTAACGAGAGCATCAGGAGAATGTCTTAATTAGTGCGAGATAATTACTCAAACTTTCTTGGATGCAACCCCTCTCACCAAAAGACAGGAGCATCAAATGATGCCACACCCACTAGATACTGAAGTACAACATCAGCTGAAATGATTATTTCTGACTTGGAGGTGAGAATACAACAAACTAACCTTAAATGGGAGGAAAATAAGCACCTTGCTAATGAGAGACCAGAACAGCAGGTTTATAATTCATGCTGCCTTTACATGCTTCAGCGGTTAGTTTTAAAATAGCATTGTGTAGCCTTTGGAAGTACATCTCCTGATCAGAGATGCATGAGTAGCTGAAAGGTGTAATTTAAGTGTTTTTTTTTTTAAACTTGTTCCTCCTCTTTCTTTCCTTCCCCAACCTCATTGTGAATGTTATGAATCAAATCATTTATGAAAAAGTGAATTTAAAGCTCCTTGCAAATCAAATTTTGTAGTGAGATTACTGCAGTGACCTGATATTTGAGCACAGAATTAATGTGGAAAGAGAAAGTCTATTGACCCACTGGAGCAAATCCATTCAGAATAAACCTGTGGTCTCCCTATAGTGGCACTAACTAGTAAATTATTCCAAGGATTTTGCCCCCACAAACACCATGTGAAAAACATACTACTTTGAAAGTCAGTGTCCTGTAATAGTTGTAACAGTGTTCTGAATAGACCTTTCTTCTGTTATTTATTTGCTTTGAGACCACAGTCCATCCTTGCCTGTCAAGTTTGATATTTGTTACTCTTAACTCAGCCCTTCATACAACATGGCTGCTTTGTAGTCATTTTGTGTTGTGATTAGGACTTGATAATCTCCTGTCATCAGTGACACATTAATTTAAAGCTATTATTACTCAAGGACATGGTTTGACTGGAACGATTTCAAATTCTAGCATGAAAATCTTCGATTTCTAATTTCCACTCAAAATATATCTGTTCAGCTTTTGTTTGTTTTTAAACTCTGCTGTGATGGTATATTTGAAGCATTTTTGTGAGTTCTGATTTAAAAGTCATGTTGGATTCAACATTGACTCTGACTGTGTTTCCTTCACCATAGATGCTGCCAGACCTCAATTTCTGCAGCCTTTTGTTTTTATATGTGAAACTTTTGCTCTTACTATGACTTTGTTTTTGGTAAGGTCCCATGTAAAAGATTAGCATGTAAAATTAAAGCACATGGGATTGGGGTTAGTGTACCAACATGGATAAACAACTGGATGGCAGACAGGAAACAAAGAATAGGACTAACTGGGTCTTTTTCCAAGTAGCAGGGAGTGACTAGTGTGGTACCACAGTGAACAGTGCTTTGACCCCAGTTATTCATGATTTATGTTAATGATTTCGATGAGGGAACTAAATGTAGTGTATCCAAGTTTGTAGACAATTCAAAGCTGGCTGGTAGGATGCCAGGATGTGAGGAGGATGCAGAAATGCTTTGATGTAACTTGGACAAGTTTGAGTGAATGGGCAGTTGCATGGCAGGTGAAGTATAATGTGGATAAGTGTGAGGTTATCACGTTGGATGGAGAAACAGGCAGATCATCTGAATGGTGATAGATTGGCGGGGGAGGGGGGAGGGGGCAGGGTCTATAACAAGTCCCCAAACACCAGTTGCTGAAAGTGAGCATACAGGTACAGCAGGCAGTGAAGAAGGCAAATGGCATGTTGGTCTTCATAGTGAGAGGATTTGAGTGCAGGATCAGGGATGTCTTGCTGCAGTTGTACCAGACCTTGGTGAGATCACACCTGGAGTATTGTGTGTAGTTTTGACCTTCTTTACCTGAGGCAATACGTTCTGGCTATGGAGAGAGTGCACCAAAGGTTTACCAGACTGATTCCTGGGAAGACAGGACTGACCTATGAAGACGGACTGGATTCAGTAGGACTATATTCACGAGTTCAGAAGAATGATGGACATGTCATAGATACCTATAAAAGTCTAACCTGGATTAGGCAGGGTAAATGTAGAAAGAACTTTCCCAATAACTATGGAGTCCAGAACTGGGGTCATCGTTTGAGGATACGAGATAGGCCATTTAGGACTGACTTGAGAAAAATTTCTCAACTGAGTGTAGTGAACCTGTGGAATTCTCTGCTGCAGAAAGTGGTTGAGGCCAGAACGTTGAATATCAATGGAATTAGGGAGAAAGTGGGAACAGGGCACTGAGTTGGATGATCAGCCATGATCATACAAAATGGCAGGGTAGGCTTGAAGAGCAGAATGGCCTACTCCATATTCTGTTTTTATGCTACTCTTAGGTATTTTTCTCACTTTGCATAATGTTTTGGAATAATTATACAGGGAATGAGAACGAATACAAATTTATTATCTTCTTTGTGAAATAATAAAAGTTATGCTGATGAGTGTACTTTTCTTGTAGGACGGACAGGAAGAGCTCATCATCGAGGAAAAGCTATTACATTTTTCACAGAAGACGATAAGCCACTTTTGCGGAGGTCAGTTTGAAAATGTGTGCAGTAAGCCAGAAGTTCCCTGTTACTGGAGCAAAGCTACCCATTGGGTACTTTTTTATTATTCATTCATGGGATGTGAACATCATGGGCAATGCCAGTTTTCAATGTCCATAACTAATAGTCTTTGAGAAGGTGCTGCCACTGATGTAGATACTCCCACAGTGGTGTTAGGGAATATTTTGCGAGATTACACCCTTGGTTTCTTTTAATAGGAGTACATCTGAGGAAAAGAAAAAAAGTGCTTGATGGAATCTATTTTAAATGCACGTGCATTTCTTAAGGCAGAGTAGGAGTATTGTGACAAGTATAATTGAGCTGTCTCTTACTGTGATTAAAATGTTCTTTTTGTATATTGTTAGTGCTCACTGGCTATTGAAATATTGCTTGCATTGTGTAAATGCTACATGTTCTAACAATCTACTGCATATAACGAGAATACCGAGGCTTCTTGCTTTTGCTGGTTTGACATCTAAAAAGTGACAACCAATATTAGAAAGAGGCAATGTCAGTTTTGCTCCAGTGAACTGTTTAACGTCAGGGAAACAATACAGATCAGGCTTTTTGCAATAAATTTCTGCCAAAGCTTGGGCTCTTATCCCAAAAGTGCAGTGTTTTATGGTTTCAGAAGATTATTTTTAAAACTATAAGCCTATATAAAATGAAAGTGGTGAAAGAGTGCCACTGACTTTCTAAAATTATGGCAAAAATCTTAAGAGTTGCCTTTATACTTGTGAGCTGTTTATATGTGCTGCAGTCAGAAATACTGATTTATCGCTTAGCCTAGTGACTCAGTGGATCAACATGACTTCTAGGTAGGTGCTGCAATACTGTAAGCAACTTGTTCTATAATTCAATTCTCCTCAGAGTGGTTTAGTCCAAAGCCTTTTTTACATTTTAGCAATTTAGAAAGAAAATACTGACCTAACATGCTGTGTATGTTAATTCAAGTTTATGTTCTCATGACTGAATGTTTGTTTGTTTGTTTGTTTGTTTTCTAAATTCCTCTGAGGAAGTATAATTGAATGATTTATTATTTTCACTTGCATTTTAGTGAATAATGTAGTAAAATACAGTGAAAAGCCTTAACAGTTGCCACAATCCAGCGGCCTTTCGAATAGTTTAAGAATAAAAAGGATAAAAGATGTAACTGAGAGAGTACTGAGCCCTGAACCGGCTCACCAATGACCTCTGCGCCACCACCCCACCTCCATTGCCTCACCTGTGCCACACCCACCAATGAAGGAGTTGCCACTCTTCAGGCACCATCTCTTCGCTGCTGGGCCCACCTTGCCACCACTGCTGATGCCAGGTCCCCAGCTCTGCGCTTATGAAATTGTTTTATGAACCTGTGATTTTATATAAAGTGTTGTGATGTACTGTCTCCTTTTGGACTCTAATTGGAGGATGCACCATTATTTTACTGTAATTTAAACTGTGCTCATGTGCCACTTACTTTCATTGGCTAGAATACAAAGTCAACCAGAACAATGAAGTTCTGCAATGACAAATGACCACTGTAGGAATCTGTCAACTTAATTGTGTGCCATAATTAATATAAATGAGGATATTTTGCATGCATAAACTAGCATCTTGGGAGGTATACTCACTTTTTTATGAATTTAGACAGATTATTTGTTGCCATTCCAGTATTGAAATTGTTCATGCTACAACAGTGCTGACTGTCCAGATTTCTGAGCCTTAAGAATAGAACAGTGCAAAACCTAAACTGTAGCTGAACTAATTTTTAATCTGAATGAGTCAATACTGAATCTGGCATCATTGCAAACATCTTGTCACTTGGTTTACTGAGTTTTAATTTACAGAAACATATTTGGCAGTCACTGATCAGCCCACATCCCGTTCATAAAATTCAGAGCGAAAACCTATTAACTGTGTGAAAAACAGAAGCTCCTGACTTGTCTTATACATTCTTAGTTTAACAATCTTTTACTGTGATGGAATCAAGGAGTTGAATGAGCTCAGCAGTTCTTACTATAGATCAGTGTTGACACTTGGGGGCAAAATGAAACTTGCGCCGAAAATATCATGGCTATTGCTAGTTGACATTAGACTGACTTAAAATTTCCAGAAGTGCTCAGTATTTCATTTTTTTCTGTTCAATTAGTGTAGCAAATGTTATCAGACAAGCTGGCTGCCCTGTACCAGACTATATGATGCAAATAAACAAACTGCAGAGGTAAGTGCCTTCAATTTAAAACATGGTACACTAATAGATATTATTAAATGCTGTGTATGGCTGTTTGAGATTAGGTTTGGTCTTGGTGAGTGGACTGGATTGCAATATGTGGCATACTGAGTTCTATCAGTTGGCTTGTAGAGCTCATTTGCTATGTCTTGTCTCTTCCAAATGAAAATCCAAAAGCTCTGCGGATGCTGGAAATCAGAAGCAAAAACAGAAATTGCTGAAAGACTCAGCAGGGCTGGCAGCATCTGTGGAGAGAAACCAGAGTTAACATTTCAGGTCCTTTAACCCCTTAGAACGAATGATTTGGAGGATTTCAATCTGTACTTAGGAATGTAGAAAGTTGAACTTCTGGCTGTTTACTGTAATGTGCTTTAAGATGAATTATTTTACACGTGCACCTCCCCCTTATTGGAGTTAGCGATGAACATCTTTATTGCGATGAGTCAGCTGTTGTTCATATTGACTTATTTGAGAATTAGCATTTTAAATGGCTGCATTGACGGATTTACCCTATTTTTAAAAAGCTGTCCTTTAACACAAGCATTAATTTCAAAAAAGGGTCTTATCAGCACTTTTTTTATTTGCATTTTTTAAAAAAAAAAGAGACTCTGGTTTTATCATCCTCACCTTTTTTTCCCCTCTTTTGGAATAAAAGATTTTTCCCCCTCTCACTTTCCAATGTCGATCAGCCTGCTCTACACCCCGATCAATGCTGCTTCAAGTTGGCCATGGGGAATTGTGGCAGGGAAACCTGGGGTTAAATCTTTCTCTCTCCCTCTCTGTGAAAATAGCTTGCTTCCTTTTGAGACTCAGATTGTAGATGGAAGACTTGTCTTGCATCTCCACTCTTTCCATTTCTTCCACCTATTTTGTTTTTAGATATAGCATACCACTGCATTAGTTCAACATTTCACCCTTTGAAACATTGAAATTGATGCTTTAAACCCAATTATACAGAGGTGCAAGTTGTAAAATTGTAGAATTGACCAATGAATTTAAAATAGATCGGTTTTATTGATCTTTTGTAATCAGATGGTGTAGTCCAATATGTATTATCTCAAATGTGAAAGGTAACAAATCACTGTACATATCAGAATTAATATTTGTCATGACATCTATGTGGTTTCTTGAGCACAGTGATGATTGGCTTTTTATATCATTTGCTGTAGAAAGTACAGTGGGCTTTTAACCTAGTAATCAATGAGTAAAGCAGAGATGGTAAATCAAACTCCATAGCAGGTGTGATTTCAAATTTGGTTGATTAAATCTGAAGTAAATAACTTGTACCAATAATGGTGATCAGGAAACTACAGGATTGTCATGAAAGTCTATTTGTTTAACTTTAGGGAATGAAATCTGCTGTACTTCCCTGGTGTGGCCTACATGTGAATTCAGGCCCACAGCAGTGTGGTTGACTTTTAACTGCCTTCCCCGAAGTAGCCCAGCAAACCAGTCTGTTGTATTCACAAATGGAGCTTGCCACTAATTACCCACGGACAACTAAGGTTGGGCAATAACTGCTGACTGCCAGTATCACTCCATGTCATGGATTATGAAATAAAAGATGTAGTAATTTTGTTCTCGGGGTAGGTGTTACTGTTATTTCTTTAGTCTAGAAATATCATGCTTACCCTTAAAGTTCTGAATATTAGCAATTGAAAGACCACAAGATGTTAGAGGAAGTCGGCCATTGGACCCATTGAGTCTCCTCTGCTATTCATCCTAAACTGATAATTCTCAACACCATTATTCTGCCACTTCCCCATAACCCTTGATTTCCTTACTGACTAAAATTCTGTATATCTCAGTCTTGCATATACATGATGACCCAGCCTTTACAGCCCTCTGCAGCATCAAATTCCACTCCCCTTTGATAGACAAAGTTCCTCCTAATCTCCGTCCTAACTGGTGACCCTTTACTCTGAGATTGTCCTCTGGTTCTAGACTGTCCCACATGGAAAAACAATCTCACCACAGCTACCATGTCATGCCCCAAGAACCCTGTACATTTCAGTAAGGTTCTTCTAAATTCCGATGAGTAAAGTCCCAACTTACTCAACTGCTCCTCATACACAAAAAATTTCCTTCTGTACCTGAAATCGACCTTAGTGAATCTTCCCTAGACTCCCTCCAGTGTCAGTATATCTTTCCTTAGATAAGGGAACCAAGACTATTCACAGCATTGTGGGTGTTGTCTGTCTAGTGATTCCCACTTTGAATCAAACTCCCAGATATATTCACTTGGCCTTTGCCTCACTTGGGGAAAGTCTCCACACCCATTGATTCTGCTCCTTACTGACCATGATGTTCAAAAATCAAATGTTGTGGATGAGCTTCTGTTTAAAAATATAGATAAAAATGCCAACTATTACATTATCAAATGTTTCATGAGTATTTTATCTCTCCTCAGCATAGTCTACCTAAAATACTAAGACCAAGACTATTCCATGAAATATGTAAATAGAAGAAAAGTAGCAGCTCGGTGTCTCAAACAGAGTCTCTGCAAAAACAGCATTGAAGTAGCAATCCCCAGAATGGGTTTGCACTCCATTCCTTCTGATGCTACAATTTTTAAAAATGCTTTGAAGCTGACACCAGATGTGTCATATAGTTAGCCCATTCTTAGTACAAATGTACATTTCATCAAAGTATTTATTTCACTTACTGCATTGATTGACACTAATTTGTATTAATGGCTACCATCTCCACTTCATTACAGTAAACAAAAGAAAAGATTGATCAAAAATCCAATCAAACGAGCAGATATCAAGACCACACCAAAGTACTTCATAGAAAAGGCTGCCAGGAGGAAGTAAGATTTTATTTCAAGTTTTATATATTTACTTTTGAATCAAGCCATGTGAAATTAGATAACAGTATTTAGAGTAGTGTCTCCTTCCATTTATCTTTGTGTGGCCTATTCATTTCACCATAGTACCTCTAAAAGGAACAATTTAAGAGTGCCTTTCAGCTTGCTTCCTGTATAATTACATGCATGACTTAGAAGTTTGTATTATTTCTGGTATGTCTGAAATGGAAACAAATTAGTCAATGTACCATCTCATTTTGAAGTGAGAATTTGCACTTTGTTCTCGTGAACGTTGTATCAGGTTGTAGGTTTGGAAGACTTCACAACTGTGAACATGCAAGTGTTCTTGTGTTTTAAAATGCACTGTACACTGTTCCTCCCCTGAAAATTCAAGTACAGAATTATGAGGAAGAGGTACTCTTCTACAAGTGGATGATTGAGAGTTTATTTAAAAGCTAGAATGTTTGTCAAAGTTATGTTTAATGTATTTCTGAATTATTGCCTCCAGTATGAAGATAAAATTACTAATATAAAGGATGCTTTTACCATGTTACAAATTTCAGAAGGATGATGGGTGAAAGAGTTGCATGGCATATGAAAATGACCCACAGTAGTGGAGACAATGGGTGGCATGTAATCACTTTGATTCAGAAGTTTTGAGAGACTAACCATTATCAACTTCTAAGACTCTGCTTTAACATTGGAGAATTATGCGGTGGTAATTGTTTGAAATCAAATGGAAGAATTTAGTATTAAGTAACATTCAAGTCTGCTTGAATGTGGCAGCTTAGATCATCCATTGTCCAATTGGTCTGCCAGCAATTTGTTAGAGTTGAATGAGTAATGAGGTGCTGAACTGACAGTGAGTTCAAAGTCTCATGATTGCCAAGATATAAATGTATCGCAATGGGGAGGATTTGTCTGAAGATAGTTATTGAAAAAATAATTTGAATTTTAATGTCTAAATGGAAATGTAGAAAGAAAATGTTCCTGTACAGGTGATTTGTGCTTTGTCTCGTATACCAGCTTTGGTGAAATTTGACCTTTTATACTGTTCTGTTCTTAGAAAAATGATACAGAAGAGCAAGAAGAAGAAAAAAGAAAATTCCTATGCAAGTGTGCCAGTTACCCGGGGTAAGCAGGTTGCCACTGACAGCTGAAGAAGTGCTGCTAGAAGTGTCCAACACTGCTTTCTACAGTTGAGAAGCAGAGCATCGGATAGCCACTTGTACATCCCCACAGGGACTGATGCTGAACATTACTATTGTTTACGCTTGCATTTTTTTTAAAAGATGCTTATCTGAATTTTTTTTTAAAAACTGAAGTCTTTTAGAAGCACAGAGATAGTAGGAACCGCAGATGCTGGAAAATCTGAGACAACAAGGTGCAGAGCTGGATGAACACAGCTGGACACAGGAAGGCTGACGTTTCGGGCCTAGACCCTCCTCCATTTTTGATGAAGGGTCTAGGCCCGAAATGTCAGCCTTACTGCTCCTACGATGCTGCTTGGCCTGCTGTGTTCATCCAGTTCTGCACCTTGTTGTCTGTCTCTTTTAGAAGCACAGTGTTTTGGGACAATACTGCAGCCGTGGTCACTTTTTACATTGTATATTTGTGCCTTTAGAAATAATCTGTACCTATTTACCATTGCAGCCTTGCGGGTGTGAGGATATGGTCTTCACACACACTGAAAATGGTCATTTCTACCTGATACAGAATATTGGAGTTTGGGCACACTAAATTATCTTTCTCAAGAACTGCTTTTGTATGGAAGTTACTGTGCAAACAAATATAGTTACTTTTATGACAGTGGAAATAAATATCACTGGCATAATTTAAGACATAGTTAAGTTGTGATTTAATCTTCAGTTTAAAAAAAGTCATGATTTCTTTAATTCTAAGAGTCTAGTGTTAATGTAAGGAGAGAAGTTTTTTATATCAAAACTGTGACCTTTATCTTTATCTCACTGTCTGAGATGCAGTGTTTCTAAAATTAAAAACATGTTTCATTTAACATTTTCTGGTTTGTCCAATGGATTATGTATTGGAGGGGGTCGGTTGACTGATTTGCGGTGCAGAGTGACACTAACAACGTGGAATCAATTTCTGCACCGGCTGAGGTCACAATGAAGGTCCCAACTTTTCGACCTCTTCCTGCACCTGAGATATGGTGACCTCCCAGTTAAACTCGCTACCAATAACCTGTCTAATGAGAGAACAACCCTATGGTCTTCTGCGACTATGGCAACTTTACCTTTTATGTATTTTGGTAGAAGTCTTGAATTAGTTGAGGAACATGAGACTGAAGGAGAAGACTAGGAGCAGGAGCTATTCTTGCTCTTGCTGGCCTTTTTTTTTTTTATTTATTCACAGGATAAGGACATCACTGGCTAGGCAACATTTATTTATTGCCCATCCCTAATTGCCCGGTGGGCAGTTGAGTCAACCACAGTGCTGCGGGTCTGGAATCACATGTAGGCCAGACCAGGTAAGGATGGCAGTTTCCTTGCCTAAAGGACATTAGTGAACCAGATGGGTTTTTCCAACAATCGACAATGGATTCATCGTCATCACTAGACTCTTAATGCCAGATTTTTATTGCATTCAAAATCCACCACCTGCCGATTCTTCTAACCCAGGTCCCCAGAATATTACCAGGGTCTCTGGATTAACACACACACAGTTGCTGGAAAACCTCAGCAGGTCTGGCAGCATCAGTGAAGGAGAAAACGGTTAACGTTTCGGGTCCAGTGACCCTTCCTCAGCTGAGCTTTTCCAGCAACTTTTTTGTTTTTGTTCCTGATTTACAGCATCCGCAGTTTTTTTGGTTTCTCTCTGGATTAAAAGTCTGGCGAAAACACCCCAACGACTATGCCCCCCCCGCCCCCCCCCCCCGCCCCTCCTTAACTATTTATTCTCTGGATGTGGACAAGGCTGGTTTTATTGCCCATCTCTACTTTCCATCAATGATACTGTATCACCACCTTGATCAACAATTAAAACTGTCATCCTAGTGTGTGACTAGAGTCCCAAACATCCAAATGAGAAGCAGGAATAGGCCACTTTCTCTGGAGCCTGCTCTGCCATTCAATAAGATCTGATTACTCCAGAAGCCACCCATCCCTGACTACCTTTCACACTTTGAATATTTTAAAAGGTAGAGAGAGATTTTTAATAAACAAAGCCTGCCTACACTGCCTTTTGAGTGAGAGTTCCAAAGATTCACAACTTTCTGTTAGAGAAATTTCTATCTGTCTTAAATAGGTGGTCCCTTACTTTTGAATGATAATCCTTAATTCTAGGTCCTCTAATGAGAGGAAACATCCTTTCCCCAAATGCCTTGTCAGAGACCCCTTTTATATGTTTCAATTAAGTCCTCGCTTCCTCTTCCAAATTCCAATGGCTACAAGACTAGTCTGAACAACTTTTCCTCGTAGGGCACACATAAAATCACACTGAGTAAGGACAACCGGTTTATTCACCACTTTGTTCTTACGTTCATCTTTCTGTTCCTGGCCTACGGCAGGCTTCCATTGAGGGTCAATACAAATTGAAAGGACAGTATCTTATCCTAAATTTCAGCATTTTTAAGCTTTCTGGATTCAACATTGAGATTAACAATTTCAGATACAAACTGTCCCACGTCTGGATTCTGCTTGTTTTGCCATGTGCCAGCCTGAACATTGCTTTTCATGTTCTGCTTTTGGACAGAGTTGTTCAACCTTCTGTCATTCACACTCTTTCTGAACAATAAAAGAATATAGTGTGGAGCTGGAGGAACACAGCAGGCCAGGCAGTATCAGAGGAGCAGGAAAGTTGACGTTTCGGATTGGGACTATCCTTCAGAAATGGGGAGGGGGAAGGGAACTGGCAAATAGAGAGAGGAGGGGTGGGGCTGGGGAAAGTAGTTGGGTTGGTGATAGGTGAGTGTAGGTAGGGAGTAGTGGGGTTTGGAGGGGCAGATAAGTGGGAGAGAAGATGGACAGGTTGTGTCAGGTCAAGGAGGTGGGGATGAGAGGGAGGCTTGGACGTGGGATGAGGCTGGGGGTTGGGAGATTTTAACTGGTAAAGTCCACATTGAGATAATCGGGCTGTGGGCTCCTGAGGTGTTGCTCCTCTGGTTTGTGGTTGGTGTCATTGTGACACTGGAGGAGGTCCAGTGTGGACATGTCTCCAGGGAGTGGGCGCAGGTGTTAAAATGGATGGCGACTGGAAGGTGTTGTCGCTTGTCGCGTTATCTCCGCATCCAACGTATCATTCTCTGCCACTTCTGCCACCGATAATCTGACCCCACAACCCAAGAGATATTTCCGTCCCCACCCCTATCTGCTTTTGTAGGGATGGCGCTCTCTGCAATGCCCTTGTCCACTCCCCACTAACCCCACCGCCCCCGGCACCTCTCCCTGCAATCACAGGAAGTGCTACACCTGGCCCTACCCTCCCCCCTCCCCCGCCACCCCAAAATCCCATTCAAGGCACAAAACAAACTTTCCATATCAAACGGGTTCACCTGCCCATCCCTGAACTTGGTCTACTGTATCCGCTGCTCCCAGTGTGGCCTCTTCTACGTTGGTGAGACCAAGCATAGACTCTGAGACCGTTTTGTAGACATCTGCACCACCATGACCAACCTTCCCTCTTATCTGCCTCCTTGACCTGACACAACCTGTCCGTCTTCTCTCCCACCTATCCACCCCTCCAATCCCCACCACACTCTATCTGCACTCCCCCATCACCATCCCATCTACCTTTCCCAGCCCCACCCCTCCTTTCTATTTATTTCTGAGCTCCCTTCCACCTCCCCATTTCGGAAGAAGGGTCCCGACCCAAAATGTCAACTTTCCTGATCCTCTGCTGCTTGGTCTGCTGTGATCCTCCAGCTCCACACTGTTGTCTCTGACTCCAGCATCTGCAGTGCTTACTATCTCATTCTGAACAATTGCTTTGTTTCTTTGCTGCAGTCATTAGCATTTCATTTTCCTGTTGCTCCTTGACATCTTTATCATATAATCTATTCTACCTTCCCTTTTGTTCTTCCAAACTGGTATCATTAAAAAGAATAAAACCTATCAGGTTTCAAACTGCCTTCAATTGTGAAGACGTTCTGTTAGCCTCAGCATGTTCACTCTGTTTGTCTCTTCATAGAAGCTGCCAGATTGCTGAGTATTGCCAACACTGTTTGTTTTTATTTTAGATTTGCAGCATTGCAGGTTTTCTTTTTTGCTTTTTATTTAACAGCACAGTTTCTTCCCTCAACTGTTTAGATCCTTACAACAATCCAGTAGCTTTGTGGTCACTTTTACTTGCATGGTTCCCATATCATACGTTGCCCATGTTTATCCCAGGCAGTGTCTATGTACAGCTTATAGTTCTAATCACCATCAAATTTAATAACAAAGGTGTTAATTATAATGCACTGTATACTGGCTATTACAAGCAATTCAATCATCTTTTCACACCTCATTAAGATACTTTTGATTATTGACCTGAGGAACCTTTAGACTGAGTATACCTTGGTGTTGCAGTGCCTGTAATGCAAAGGAATGAACTACGTACAATTCCAAACAACAGTCGCACCAGGCTCAAAACATTAAGGGGTTGCATGGTGGCTCAGTGGTTAGCACTGCAGCCTCACAGCGCCAGGGACCCGAGTTTGATTCCACCCTTGGGCGACTGTGCAAACTCTGTACATTCTCCCCGTGTCCGCGTGGGTTTCCTCCAGGTGCTCTGGTTTCCTCCCACAGTTCAAAGATGTGCAGGCTAGGTGGATTGGCCATGCTAAATTGCCCATAGTGTGCAGGGGGATGGGTCTGGGTGGGATGCTCCAAGGATCGGTGTGGACTTGTTGGGCTGAAGGGCCTGTTTCCACGCTGTAGGGATTCTATGATTAACTCTGTTTCTCTCCCCACTGATGCTGTCAGATCTGCTGAGTTTCTCCAACACTCTCTCTTTGTACAATTACTGTTTGTGGGAAGAGTTTTCCATCGCATTCATTTTTTTTTTTGATCCCCAAGGAGAGCAGATTGAAGCTGCCTACAGTCTCAATTTTCCAATAGCTTCTCACAGATGTTAGCAGTCTGAACAATTGGCAGAGACTTTGAGTAGCTTCAATTTGCTGTTTGCCAAATGTAGACAATCTGTTTCCAGTTAGATAAATCATTGTCTGAAACAGAACTGGGAATGAATAGATCTTTTTGCTAACAAACATACCCGAACCTTCACAAACCAACATAATTTGTTCTTTTGTCCAGTAATGCTTTGGGATTAATTCTATCAATTTTTTTTAACTAAAATTGAAGTGAGTCCCTGGTTCTGTATGGACTGAATACTCATCAGTGAGGTAGACCAGCTTGCTAAATTCATACTTAAAAGGCAAAAACTGCATTTTAAGACAGTATGTATCAACATGTACATGTAAACTGGAATGCAAAGTTAGTCTATGGGGATTTAAATTTTGAGTTCCCACTCAAAGTACCAATCGGCCTCTATTTCTCCAATTCTTCCTCGTGCCCCCACACCCCACCTTCCCCAATCCCTACAATTGGAAACTTCTCCTGTGGGGGGTAAAGCAGATGTCAAAGTCTGAAGTTGTTAGTCAATATTTGACCCACAGGGCTGTAAAGTGGCTGGTAAAGATATAAACTTTTGTTCCTTTTGTCTTATCATAACAGTGTAGAAGGTCAAATACACACATCTGAATGCGATAGAGAGTTGAATTGGCTAATAAAAGTAGCTTGGAATCACACAGACAGAACTGAACCATTCAGCAAAGTGGTCACCTCATCTGTAATTGTTCAAAAAAATTTGTTCTTTATTTGATTTTTATCGTCCATGACTAATCGCCCTTAAAGGTGGTGGTGAGCTGTCACCTTGAACTGCTACAAAACCTTGTAGTTTAGCGCCCAAATGTGAGGGACAGAAGTCTTTGGATCTCTGGAAGGGAAGGAACTGTTATGGCTCAGCATTAAAAAAAAAAAAAAAAAATCTCAAGCCTCAAGACAGCCAGTTTATTTC